CTTTAATGAATTTTTAATTAACAAATTCAACAACTTGAAAGGGCGCTGTTTCGAACTAAAGCAGTTTTATCTCCAGCGCACGAGATTGTCGCCATTTGAAAAATGTAATGTATTTAAATTTTAATTGACAATCTCGGCTCTATACAAAGCAAAGTCTTCACGGCCGGAAGTAAAATCGTTTTACCTTCCACGCGCCAGGATGTTGCCATTCAGCAAAGCCTAAAATAATTTCAAATTGAATCTGGAAACTTATTCAGTAATAGCCATTAACAAAGCGATTTAAAATCAATAAACACAGTTCTTAAAAATATTTGTTCTACTTTTTAATGGCACTGATTTGAATAAATATGAAGACATTTAATTTGAAATATTCAATATTTTTTATGAAATTACAGAGATATGCTGCTTTTAAATATTTTGTGATTTTTCTGTTGAATTGAATTTTATCTAATGATTTTATCTAATAATTGAATTTTATCTTCTCGAGTGCGAAGAACGTAATTATAATAAATAAAGTTAAAACATAAAACGTTAATAAAAAAAGACAATTTATTTTCTTAGCCATCTTTCTAAGAAAACTGAATATTGATATGCTGAATTGAGGAAAAACTGAAAAGAATATAAAAATGATATACCAATACCTCATACTGCGTCAGGAGTTCTAAACAAAACCGGCCTTAAAACGTTTGCGATTATGTTGTTGAGCTGTATGTGGTGTAAAAGCGAAGAAAGCGATGCTTAATAATAAAGCTAAAATGAAAACAAAATAGCAGGAGTGAGTGCAAGAACAGATTGGAAGACTGCGAGCTCAACGAGAGAGCAACAAAGACGTTCGGGAGATCGTTAAAATTTTAAACCTTTTTAGATTTTTTTTTGATAACTCTAATTGTGTCATCTCGTGTTCCACAAAGTACCTATACAACGAATGTTACGCAAGTAAGTAATAGAAGTAGAACTGCAAGAGGGGGGGAGTATGGTAAAGATTTAAAATAAAATAAAAAGAACTCAAAAATCTAAACTAAGAAGGAAATTCCGAAAAGCTAAATTGTCTCTATTGTCAGTAAAAGTTCTGAAAAAAATTAGTGACCAAAATTCAGGTGGTGTAAAGTTCCTCCTCTACTGAGCACGCTGAAAACACTCAAGAAAAAAAATATGATTAACAACTTCATCTTTAGCCTTATTTTTTATCACTTCATATAAACGTTAATGAAAGTAAATTTGAGGTATTCCTCCCTTCCTTTGTTACACCAAAGCAAGCACGTGGTTTGCATTAGCCTAAAATTATATTTGACCTTTCTTAGAGACCGATTTATGGTAGATTTATGGTCTTCCGTGTTCTTTAGCTAGCTTGTCGGTCTATTCTGTACTGGTCACGATAGCTGTTCCCTTTAACAAGATCTTAGGAAAATTTGAATGCATTGAATTTCAGAAGAACCAAAAAGGCTTAGTAGATGATGACAGATCTTTTAGACTGAAACTTGCATATAAAAGTGAAATAGATATTGGGTTTGACGATCTAACAAACATAAAGTATTCTTATACATTTCACACATAAAATCACTGATCAGAAATTCATGTATGCACAAGAGATGAAGCAAAACATGAAGTACAGAACCATAAAATGAGACATTTTAGAAGGGTTGAGGAAATTAAACTGCCAAGTGTGAACTGAAAATGATGAAAACATGTAAATAAGGTTTGTAGAGACTTTAAGCTTTTCTGATTCAGAGTTATGTGAATCATGAGCAATGCCCTGTCCGAGACTCGAAAATACCTGAGAAAATTTCTTATACACTTCACCTTTTAAAGGGCGACTGGGGATTAGGGGACCCAATCGCCAAATCCTGGTGGTGAAGAATCATCATGCACCACTTTTTAGTTCGGGGGCGACTATTAAAATCATTAAATCATTAGATTTGTTTGAAGTTGGAGACGTGAGAAATGTGCAGGCCCTCGCCGAGACTCGAAGCTGGACATCTCGAACACGCGCTGAGTGTGCTCACCGTAACATTACGAATGCATGCCGAAAGGGAGAAAATACCTTATAAGCTTTTGGCAGGTATGCCAAGAACCTATAATGCCAACACCAATTTTTATGACTAGCAACGGTCTGTGTACTGGTCGGTACGCCGTTTTCAATTTATTATGAATTTTTAATGATAACGTTTTAATGAGAACACCGAGACAGGATTTTAAACTATAAGGAGATGACTTGTAAACAAAATACATATTTGAAGATTATAATATAGGAAGGTTGGGGCAAAAGTCATGGCAACTATTTTTTTTTCTTGAATTTAACAGTCCGATTGGAAAATGTGACATATACAGACGAAAGGACAAGGTCTTAACTATATGTGTGGACAATGAATAGCACTAAAATATCGTAACACACGAAATTATTACGGTAGTATACAGGTCAATATGGCCTTCACCGTGCAAAAGAATGATAACACAATACACATAAAGTTGGCATGACAAACCTGGGCCAAAAGACCCTCATTGTAGCCCCCTGCTACTGTCACCACACGCTGTCAACGATGTGGGAGCCGCTGAATACCATCAGCCTCAGCATTTGCCGCACCATGTGTGAATCGGGTCATCTGTTGGCGCACAGCATTAGCAATGTCCTCTCGTGTTGCAAACCGCCTACCACGTATTGTTTCCTTAATCTTGGAAAAGAGATCAAATTCACAGGGCGAAAGGTCAGTAGATTACGGTGGGTGCTCCAATTCTTCCCATTCTCAACGTCGAAGTAGCTGCAGCACACACTCTGCTTTATGTGGTCTTGCATTGTCGTGCAGAATTATTGCACTGTCCACAAGATCCGGAAGTTTATCCCGAACGCCACGTCGTACCTGTCGCAACAGGAAGTCCCTGTAGTGCTGTGCGGTCACTGTTCTGCCATGAGAAACAATGTGGCTAACAATGACACCCTTGACGTCATACGCAACGATTACCATCAATTTGACTGGGAAAGGATTCTGACGGACCTTCTGCTTGGTGAACTAGGATGTCGCCACTCCGCGGACTGACGTTTCAGTTATGATTTGTATGCCCTGGCTGAAAATTCATCGATGGCGGTTATTCTTGACAAGAATTGATCGCCGTCCTGTTGCCAGCGTGCAAAGTGGTCCGATCATATTACATAGCGTACCCACCTTTGAACTTCCGTCAGTGCATGCAGTAATCACCGCGAAGCGATTTTGCATAGCTGTAGCTTATTACGCAATATCCTGTGGACGGTGCGTGTCTCGATGCCACTTGCCCTCTCTAACTCCAGTAACGTCCATGGTCTATCTTCATACATGAAATGCTCTATGACGGCACTTGCCAAGTCGGTCCGCACACTCACCGGTCGTCCCGAATGTTGCGCATCACTGGTTGACACACGTCCTTGCTGCAACTTTCCTACCCACCGTGCTACTGTACGATATGGTAGGGAATTATTTCCAAGGGCTTCTACTAATTCACTGGGGCATTCCACCGCATTTCTCCCTCGGAGAACGACTATTTTGATGTAAGTGCGCTGCTCAACACAGGTTACTTCCATCTCGCACCACACTCACCAATTAACTGATTTCAGAGCCCTCGCTACCACAGAGCCAGCTATCACAAAGCCATCTGTTGTTCTGCTACATACTATGTCTTCAAAGGTACCACACGGCATATATACGTTTTGTGATCCGTTCACATATCTACAAGCAAAAATAGTTGCCATGACTTTTGCCCAACCCTCGTATATAGTGTACGTCCATCTACAAACCTGTCAACCACTTATGATTAACAGGAGTCAAAGACTGGAGTAATAGACATTTATACCGACGGCTCCGGACAGGATAACAATTATGGTTCAGCATTCGTAGTATTTTACTATGGAAATGAAATTGACTATGGAAAGTATAGACTGAATTATTATGACTAAGGTTTTTAATTCAAATGCTGTGAATTCAATAAAGCCTTGATGTGGATTAAGAGATTCACATTAAAGAGATTAGACAAAGGGGAAAGTGTAAAAAAAAATTCCATAGATTTAGGTGTTAAGGAGGGGGACGGACTACTTTGATAGCGTGAAAAAAGAAGAGGTCCAAAATCGAGTCTTGGTGTGTGAAAATATAATGTATGGATAGATTAAAGGAAATAAGTAGTATGAAAAGTGTTAAATAGGAAAAAGTGAGTGAGGCACTTTATTTGTGGCTCAAGTAGCAAGAAGAACTGGGAACACCCATTTCAGAACCAATTTTACTAGAGAAAGCCTTCAAGTTTTATGATGAATTTCAAGAATGAGAGCCTAGATTTACTGCTAGGGCTGGATGGCTCGACAAATGGAAAAAGCGGTACGATATCAGGCAGTTAAACGTTTGTGGGGGAAAAGCTATCTGCAAACTTGAAAAATGCTGCAAAATTCAAGGATAATTCCCACAAACTAATTGAAATGAGGGGATCTGGAGATCGAATTTATAATTGTGATGAAACCGGTATGAAGTTTCGAATGCTACTATCGAAAACGCTGGCATCCAGGGAAGAATAATCGGCATCTGAGGGCCACCTCCGTCGCCTACGGGAGCGAAGCTGCACGATGACGGAATGAGTGTGAGAGACAATCTACCATCACACAATATTTTTCTACCAAGAACTACTAATAATTTATCTTCATTTTTGTATCTAATTAATTTTGTATCTAACATTAATTTAATTGTGTGCGGTACATTTCCGTGTCCAATATTGTGCTGCAAATGTCTAGAGTAATTTAAAGTTAAATACTAAGAATTCTGAAAAATCCACCCCTTATTCCGTAAAACTTGACTTTTCGGAAACTCGACAGTCTCTCAGTCCACATTATGTCGGGTTTGTGGGACTCTACTGTATTAAACAAACCCATTTCTGATCCCACAAACCAAGAGATAACTAGACTTTAATTTTCAGTAATCGTATCTAAAGTATCATCATGTTTGTTCCATTGTCAGATTTTATATATTTTTAATTGATTATTAATATTTTAGGAACGCTTTCCTGAGGATTTCTCCTGCATCCAAGAAAACTTCAATTCCTTGTAAAAGATGCAGACTAGCTTGATTTAAAACAAGATAGTCTCGCAGTACCCAGAATGTGATTTATCATCTAAGTTGTTTTACTGCTGGAAGAACTTTTGGTACCCTGAATCTCAACCAGTGTCTTGTTGCTTATTGTGTTTTGAGTAATCTCTTTAGACATGAGATTAACGCTTACAGGTAAGTGAATTTCATTTAACTCAAAAATGTATTACATTAAGTCCAAAAATGGTGGACACAACATGATATTACATATATATATATATTGTTACGAATTTGGTATTTAAAAAGCTAATGTTAGTTCAATTACAAATTAAATGGTTTTATTTCTCGCGCAGTGCAGCGCGTGACGAATATTAAAAGAAAGCTAAGCCGGAAAATTGAAAATACAAGAGCGCGTGCATTAAATAAAATAAATATCTCTTTTTGATTTCGAGAGAAAGTACTGGAAAATTCTAGCGCGTGATTTTAAAATCTTATAAAAGGAGGAAAACATCTCAGTTTGTAGTAGTTGCTGCTTAGTTTGTTGTTGTTTAGAAAAACTGCTTGTTGATTGTAGCGAATTCGCGGATTAGCGTTCTTTAGCTGTTTTTGAATTACGTTCTATTGGACATTTGAGTAGTTAAAAGATAACTACTGTGAGATATTGTAATACTGCATGATAATTTGAGAAAATTTAAGCATTTTTGTTGTAATAATAATAAATTTTTATTCATTTTTCATCGGACTTGTGCATTCATTTCATAACGAACCCGTACGCACGCAACAATATATATATATATATGGACACAACATGATATTACATATATATATATAATTGGTGTAATTTAGTGTAAGAATCATTATTTTAAAATTTCCAATAGGGACGCCGCATGACTTCCTTGTTCAGCATATTAAATTATATACATTTTTTCTTCACTTCATTTAAATTTACTTCCTCTTATTATTCTAACCTTAATCAACCAATCCAAGTTGAAAATGGCATCAAAATTCGCTAATTTTTTTATTAAATATCCCACTCAATTTTTGTCTAACGGGAGTCAAACTTCTCACAGATTTTTGCAAAATGGGTATGAAACGTTCCCATATAATAAGCATAGGAACCAGGAAAATTTTAATTTTTGTTATTCCTTTAAAATTAATTATTTTTTTTAATTTGATATTGCCCAAAGTTGAAGATTTTTGTCATTTAAATTACTTCTGTATTTGGAAGTATATGACCACAACCGGCCACTGTTAAAATAAACGCCGGGTAAGGAATCAAATATACAGAGTGTACTCTCGATTATCTGGCTGCTGGTTATCTGGTTTGCGAATTATCCGTGAGTGACAGCACCCAACATTACGGGCAAGAGTAGTAGAAATTAAATCCAATAGAATCATTCGATCATGTAGATCATGTCTCAGGGCCAAACGCTTAAGCGTCGGGATTTTTTTAACCTGAGCCTGCATTTGGACACGGTCAACTTTATGTTGCCTGTTCAAGAGTTCGTCAAAGAACGGACGTAAAATTAAAAATAATGGATGGTCCTCTGCAAGGCTAGCTTAAAAAATGATGGAAAGATCTACACAAGATTTGTTGTGTACAAAGAGATCTATGACATGTGAATTAACATTTTATTATTTAAATCACCTAATGTAAAAGTTCACCTAATGTAATTTCTTCCTAATGTAAAAGTCAGAGATTTATTGAATTAAGATGAAGTCCCGGCAGTGACTGAAGTTGCATTCCGAAAAATGTAAACCATAAAATTCGTTGAAAGTGTCGATCTGGAAATCATCGAAGAATGGTTCGATTAATAAAAATACAAGCGAAGAGAATACTGTCAATTACATTATTCCCTAGATAGCAATGGCCTCTGTGAAATTGCTGTTGCATTACGTCAATTAAATAAAACATGAATGCTATGAAAACAGCATTTAGGAAAACATGCAGTAAATTTCGATAAATATTTAATCGTTCTCAAAAAAGAATTAAAAATATTGACGTTTAAAAAAACATAAACACATATATTATACAGGAAAGTGCGCATTTTCAATTATTCATGTTTTTTTAATTATCCGTTGCCCTCTTCCCCAGCATTAGACCGGACAATCTACAGTGCACTGTACAGGGCGTCTCAAAGCCTCGTCGCCAAACGTGACATGCTGGTCTGTCATAATATCACAAATAAGATTTACGTAGGAACTTGTGCCCGAAAATGCGAATGATGACCGTCAGAGAGCAGTGACCACAAGCGTAGAGGGGAAGAAATAAAGAATGTCCAAGGGGATGTTAATATGACTTTATTAAAGGTCATGATTACATCCCAGAAGATGTTCAAAATTCCTTCCGTTCGCCACAAAGCATGCTTCTCATCGTAGTTTCACGGACCCGTTCAAAATAGGCAGGTGTATTACGGATATGTGCAACTGCAAAATAGGCAGTGTATCACGGATAAGTGCAACTGCAAAATAGGCAGGTGTATCACGGATACATGCAACTGCAAAATAGGCAGGTGCAACTTCTTCCTCGATCCTGTCGTCTCTTACACCATGGACTTCATGTATCCAAAGGCGCCAGATCCAAAATCCAAAGGCGCGAGGTCGGAGGATCACAGTGGCTATGCGACTGGTCCACCTCTGCCAAACCATTGATTAGGATATGTCCTATCAAAGTATTCCCATACAGTGTTGCTAACATGTGCAGCTGCTCCATCATGCTGTATCAACGTGCAGCTGCTCCATCATGCTGTATCGACGTGTAGCTGCTGGAACATCAACTATCAGATCCAGCAACACTTTGTACATAACGTGTCCATGAAGACCTGAAGTAGTAAACCGATTCATTCTTCTCTTGCAACGTCCTCGCCTGAAATGATCATACTTCCCATTCTCCCACAAGTCTGCGAGCATGACCCTCTAGCGGTCGCCTTTCTCATTTTCGGACACACGTTCCTATGTAAATTTTGTTCCCATGGTTTGAGAGACTAGCATGTTAAGATTGGTAATGACCTTTTAAGACAGCCTGTATACATTTTGGTACTGAGGATTTTAATAAAGAAAGAGTGATGCGTAACTAGATATTATGGCTGTCCCATATATTAAATTTCAAAGTTTTACGGTTATTTCCTTTTAACTTAGTTCTAGAGACATTAGGTTATTTCGAAGCATGAGAGATGAAAAAGGAGCAATGACCTTGCCGGGACCCGAACCACGGACCTCTCGAATACGCGTCGAGAGTGCTGACGACTACACCACGAAGGCATGCTCAGAAGGCGAGAGAAATATCTTACATACTTCCCCTTTTAAAGGGCAAATGGGGATTAGGGGACCCAATAGCCAAATCCTGGTGGTGGAAAAACATCATCCACAAACTTTTTAATTCGAGTGCCACTGTAAAGACATTAGGTTATTTCGAAGCAGGAGAGATGAAAAATGAGCCATGCCGTCGCCGGAACTAGAACCACGAACCTCTCGAATACGCCTCAAGCATGCTGACCACTATACCACGAAGGCATGCAAAGAAGGCGGACGAAATACCTTATTCAGTTATAAACTTATTGCATATATGCGAGATGCATATATGTATACAAATGTGTAGACATCACGAAAGCGGACGTAAAGACGTCACGCAAGAGAAATGTCCAAATGGATTCGGGAACGGTCAAAATGGATATTTGTGTTGAAAAATGATACCTGAATCTTTTCACGATTACAATACCAGGAAGGTATTAATTTATTAATTTAATATTTATTAATTACAGTACCAGGAAGTAAAGAGTTTAATAAAGAAAGAAATTCTGAAATAATTCTAATTTCAATGTTGTTTCTTTAGGCTTTTGCTGATTGTCCAGTATGGTTTCGTGTTCACTCTTGCTAACACGTTTCCGTTTTTTTTTTTTTTGTTTTGCTTTGTTTGTTTGTTTAGCTTTGAGTGTATAGCTTTATTATTAAGCATCCTCTTCTTCGCACTTAAGTAATTTAAAATACAAGAGCAATGTCATACAATATTTAAAAGCAAAATATTTTTCGAAATTCCCAATAGAGTTTTAGGGGTTTCCATACATTATTTTATAAATTTAATGTATTATTTCTTTGAAAATCAGCCGCTCCTGCGTCCAGATGCCTAAACAAAATATATCTAATTATTTTAACAAGTCTAGCTAGTGCCATATATATATATACAGCTTCTAATTACGCATCTCATGATTGAAATGCCTTTTTATTTAAATTAATCAAATAAAAAGTAAAAAGTCGAAAAGATATTCTTTAAGACCAGCTTTTATTTTTTTCCAATCACTTCGTTTGCTATTCAGTAACAGAAAGATTAAATTAGAAAGATAAAATATTGTGCATTTTGCCGAATGACAACAGCCTAGCTAGTTGAAGATAAACATTCTTGCGTGCGTACGGGTTCGTACCAGATTAAAATGCACAAGTCCGATAATAGGTTAATAAACATTTATTCTTATCAAGAGAAATATTTCAGAACTCTGGAATTTTCCACAGAAATATTCCTACAAGTGTTCACAGTATCACAAATAATTAGTAGTTACACTACAGATTACTAAGACCGTTAAAGACAACGTAGTGCAAAGCGCATCTAAAGAGAAAGCCAATCCAATCACACGATGAACTCGCAACAATAGCAACAACAGCTAACTAAACAACCGACACCAGATAATCTTTCTTCGGCCTTAAATAGTTGCCAACAGGCCGTGAGATATTTCTAGTACTTTCTGCTTCCAAAATTACTGGAAAGCAATAGTAGGATGGAATTACGGTTACAGTTAACACAGTGGTAAATTACATTTATTCAGTTTCAATAGAAATTACCGATATACTCATTTACACAATGTTAAATTCACTTATTCTTGCATTCTAAAGTTTCTGGCAAAGCTTTCTCTTAACTCCTTCACATCCAATCCGCCCGACGTGGCCCTACATTGAAACGACCAGAACCGCCCGAAAACGGCCGAGATTGTAATCTTGTTTCTTCCCTCCTCCTAAGGTATGCAGTAGCAGGTGCAGTTTCCCCAAATGCATTGTATCATTTTACTGCAGACAGTTTGTCCTAAGAGGTTTCTTATCTTTTGGTTGTTCGTGACATTTCGTTGTTGATTCTTTTGTGGTACAGTGTGTTTTTAAGCTTCAAACAGCAAGAGCAGTTTAAAAATTTCAGAATTATATTTATTCTT